TATTATTACTTTCAGCTCTTATAATTTTTTTGAAAGCAGGATTTATTAAGAGTACAGAAAAGCTCCCATCGTGGGAGGGGACCCAAGGGGGTTGCACTCTTACAATTATTATTTTCTTCCTTCTGTTTTCTTTGAGTTTATTTTGGTCTTTTTTCTAATTTCTTAGAATGGATGCTCAAGTCATTGTTATTCAGCTGCTTTTTATTTCTTCCTTATAAAAAAATTTAGTACACATGGACTTAGTTATTTTACACGAGTTTTACTATGTAGTACCATTATTTTAATTTATTTAAACTTCTAATTTCCATGATGATTTATTCTTTGTTCCATAGTTTATTTAAAAGTGTGTTCCTTGAATTCCAAACATATGTGGATTTTAGAGTCATCTCCTTTACTTATTTCAAGCTTAACTTTATAGTGGGCAGAAGACATCCTATATATGATATATGGTTTGAAATATGAGACTTACTTTATAGTTCAGCACATGGTCAATATTTGTAAATATTCCATATACATTTGAAAATTATATGCATTTTGTAGTCATTTATTTCTGTGTTCTGTATGTATCAATGAGATCAAATCTGTTAACCATGTTGTTCAGATATTCCATATTCTTTCTGATTTGTCACTTGCTTGTTCTATCAATTAATGGGGCAGGAATAGTAAATCTCTGACTATGATTGCGAATTTGTCATTTCCTCTTTTTCCTTCCTTCAGGTTTTGCTTAGTATATTTGGTTTAATGTTTTCTTCAGTGTTGGAAATTTCTTAGCCATCATCTATTCAAATATTCTTTTCTGACATGAAACTGACAAAGTTCTATCCAGCCTCTGAGCCTTCTAGCTCCCTCTATCATAATTGACAGATACTGCTACAGGAAAAGCACCTATAAATGTCAGGCTCTCCTCTCTGGATTTTCTTTTTTCCCTGGAACTTGGCACAGCAATTCTTTACTGTTTTGTGAACGCCAGTAACTTCCAAAAGACTTTAAAATATATTTTGTCTAGATTTTCTAGTTCCCCTCAGGAGGGTATAATAAAAATTACTTAGGTCACATTATTAGAAACTGAATTCCAGCCTTGTTTTTATATGCATACTTGACAACGTAGCTCTTACCTAACTCTTCAATAATACAAAGCTTTACAAATATTTCACTCAGGACATTCCATCTTACATGTTATTGTAGGATATTATTTTGTTGTGGATAGAGTTGGAGTCTGTAATACTCAGTGATCTATCACAGAAACAAGGATCTGTGTACTACATGTGCTCACCCATAAGCGGACTCTGAATGTTTATCATAATATTATGAGAAAGGGATTGGCAGGATGGGGACACTGCCAGGGGAGGGGGAAACATAATATCAATAAGGGTACCCGATCTCAAACTAGGCAAAGCAGGTACCAAAGGAAGGCCCAAACTTCACCTGTACAATGACCACTTGTGTACCTAACCTTGAATTTTATATCACATCTTTAAAATTTTTTAAAAATTTAAAAATAAAAAAATATTATTTTATCTCTATATTGTTTTCTAACAGCAGCTTATTGTTGTTGTTGTTGTTGTTGTTGTTATTATACAGTCAATGCATCTTCTCTGAACTAGTGAGTAGAGTTGATTAATCACCACCTCACTGAGATTGCAGCCTTTCAAGGGTCCTGACTTTGTGCTAGAGTTTCACTCCTACTCTTCATCTTAAATAGGTCCAAGACCTCGACTCTTTTCCCTCTGTGGACATAAATATCCAAGCCCCTAGTCATAATTGAGTCTAATAATCTTCGAGACTTGCAGAGGAGTCACTCATATGCTTGCTGCTTTGACTTTTAGCATCCTCTTTGCTTCTGGAGCTTGAGAATGTATCTTTTTTGTGAGCTAAATTGTGAAATTTTAAAAATTGTTACATTATATCCAAAATTTCTAGTGGTTTATATTGAGATGGTTTAAGAATAGGCTAGTCTGCCATTTCACCAATAGTGTTCATCTGGTCCTATTTTCAGACATTTGTCTACACTTAAATTTATAGATTTATAAAGCAATATATGGAAAATGTTTGTCTCTAATTATTCTAGTCAGCTCTGACTTGACTGGCCTTGAAAAATTAAACCCCTAATCTTAGAAAGGCCCTTTCAATTCAGATTTTAGTGTCATGGGAGAGCACCATTAAGGGGAATAGAATGACAACCTTGGGTTCATTATAAGAACTGAAATTATATTTAGATTATCAATGAGAGATTCAGATCAAGATACAGGGACCAGGGATTCTTTCAGGATAATTCTACCTGAGCTACCACTTATTAAGCTGAGGTTCATCTTTTTAAAATATATTTTTCTGTGTCCTAGACTTTTCTTACAACCTGGTGATCCCCCACACAACTTTCCCTTCACTCTCCCACCCCTTCCAACCTGGCATTACAACTACCAATTTATCAGTAAATCTATCCCTAGAGTCACAAACAATTTCCATGTTGAGAAATCCAATGGGTACTTCTCTGCCTTTGTCTTACTTGACTTCTCAGCCTTATTAGATATATTTAATCATTCCTTTCTTGAAAAGTGATCTTGGTACTTTTGTTAAACCACAATTTTCTAGATTTTTTCGTATCACTCACTGCCCTCTCTATCTCAGTCTCCTTTGACAATTTCTCTTTTTCCACCTGATCTTTCTTCAGGGCTCATTCCTGGTGCTCTTCTATTCTCTGCCCTTAAGAATATCAATCTGAGGCTGAGGTGAGTGGATTGCCTGAGCCCACGGGTTCAAGACCCGCCTGAGCAACTTGGCGAGACCTCATCTCTACAATAAATCAAAAAATCAGCCGGGTGTGGTAGCGCATGCCTGTAATCCGGCTACTCGGAAGGCTGAGGCGGAAGGATCGCCGGAGCCCAGCAGGTCGAGGCTGCGGTGGCCGGGAGCGGCCACTGCACTTCAGTCTGGGCGACAGAGTGAGACTCCAACTCAAAAAAAAAAACAATATCAATCTGTTTCATACCTTTAAATATCACCTATTTGCTAATGTCTGCCAATTTTATATCTTTAGCCTTGGTCTGTCAGAATCATATACTCTATTGCTTAAACTGACATGGTCACATGGCTTTCTATACATATCTTAGGGTTAATCTGTTTGAACTTTAATCCTTATTTTTTTCTCAGCGTTTCCCATGTCATGAATGGTAGTATTAGCCATCCACTTATTTAAGCTAAACTTTCTTTTTCCCTTTCATTCTTCCCCCATATCTAATATTGAGAAAGTCCTGTTAGTAATAGCTCTAAAATATTTCTCAAATCTGTCCAACAGTCCTGTGATGTCTAAAATGATGACTTCTATTGTATTCTTACATAAGCAGAGATTAAGAAAGCATGTTAGTAAGTTGCCTAAGGGTACATATCTATTAAACAGAGGAATCAGGCATGTGGGTATCTATATTTCAAATCCACTACTCTTTCCATCATACCCAGACCCTCAAAGAAAACTTGTGAATAAATTGATACAGATTATAATAAAATTCATAATCATGGCTTTATTAGAAGAATATTGTCACCTACTGAAAAATAACTCTGCTATCTAGGTATTGATATTAATATCAATACCTCTTTTAATAGATAAAACCGGTTTCAGAGTTTTGAGACTATAAAAGAGACAAATTGGCTTCCAGAACACCCTCTTTTTTCCTTCAAAGACGTATGACCAATTGTAACCAAAACCTTTTAAGATGGTCATCGTACCCAAGGCAATTTACAGATTTAACATAATACCCATTAAATTACCAGCAGCATTCTTCTCAGACCTGGAAATGATAAGACAGGAACTCATATGGAAACATAAATGACCACAAATAGCCAAAACAATCCTCAGAAGAAGAAAAAAAAAAGCAGGAGGTATCACTCCCAAACTTTAAACTTTATTATAAAGCTACAATAATAAAAAACAGCCTGGTATTGGTACAAGAACAAGCATATAGACCAATGGAACAGGATAGAGATCCCGAAAGCAAAAAACCTCAATTTTTCAACCAACTCATCTTCAACAAAGCCTCCACTAACAAGCACTAGGGAGAGGAGAACCTATTTGAGTAAATGGTGTTGGGAAAACCGGTTAACCACATGCAGATGATTAAAACAAGACCCCTACCTATCACCATACACAAAAATCAACTCTAAATAGATCAAAGACCTAAACATAAAACCTTTCAATAAGCTTTTATCTCACTTCTCCTCCTCCAGCAAGGAAATTAGATCAAGAAAGAGACTTACCAGGCTTTTATTTTGGTTCCTCTACTGTCATAATTATATGAATATTCAATGTTTCTCATCAAAAAGTCAAGGGGACAGAGGAGAGAACTTCGGCACACACCATCATTATGTTGGCTAAATACGGAGTAGCGTTTTAAGTTAAGAAGGCTGTGTACTTTAATCAAGTAGGAGTCATTTTATATGCTTAAAATAAATGCAAATATTGTTAGTATGATCAGGGAAACCAGCTGATTGCCATCATTGGTAGTTTTGCCTTTCATATATTATGAATTTTATTAGAAAGTTATTATCTGTCCCATTTTTGAACTTGTCTTTCTGAATGAAGTTAGGGCACTATTTTACTGGATTTTCCCCCCCAATGATTTCTTATAGTGTCATAAAATCCCTGCAACATTACCTGTGATCTTAATAAATTTTTGGTAAAACTCACTTAGCATTTGTTTGGCATTAAATTCATTTCTAAGCCTTGAATGCCATTATCATTTCATGGACTTCACAAAATCAGTTTGACTTACAGTTTATTTTATACTTAGAGACTTAACTACCTTTTTTACAGAGTTCTTCATACATTCATTCAGCTGCTAGAGATCTTTGTAACATTTTCTTTCTATATTTTATTTATATAAAACGCTTACAAACGTCTTCTTAAAAATATAAATATAAACTGATTTTTGGTAATTCTAATTTTTTTGAAAGAATGGATGCTGATTTAAACAAAATATGTTAACATATCTTTTTTTAACTTCCCGCAGAGCTCTGTACCATGGAGTGTGGTAGCCATGGAGTCTGCTCAAGGGGAATTTGCCAATGTGAAGAAGGCTGGGTGGGACCAACATGTGAGGAACGCTCCTGTCATTCTCACTGTGCTGAGCATGGCCAGTGCAAAGATGGAAAATGTGAGTGTAGCCCTGGATGGGAGGGCGACCACTGCACTATTGGTAAGTACCACCATACTTTGACCAAAGTAAATTGGATTCATTGAAGTAAGAGCAGTTTAGTGAGTCAATTGACAGGCTTTTAGTAGATTTTGAGATTGGAGAAGATGAGGAGGAGGAGGATTGGTTACAAATTTAAAAGCTTTGTGAACTGGAAGTATTTTTCTTTTGTTGATAATCTTCTATTTATTTCTTGTGTCGTTTTATGAGTTATTCAAGTGAAAGTGTCATTAGTTAATAAAAGAAATGCTTTTTGCTATAAAGGTAACATTCACTGCCCATTTCTCCTTTTGAAAAATATAGTTTGTATTGGTTGAGAGCACTTAGAGGCAATTTCATTAAATAGGACTACTTTAACAGGAGCCATTCAATATCATCAGAGGCTGTCTTTAATGTGTATGAGGAAGGCACTCCCAACCTATCATCAATAGAACATTTGTGTTGAATTGTTCATCTGGTAGTGTAGAGTTGGTCCTGAAGCATCTACCCTCTCTCAACCCTTGTCACCAGTTTCACAAATTTTCAAGATACTGTCAGGGAAACAGTCTGTGAGCATGGAAAAGCCTATGTAAAAATCAATCTTTCCTGTGACCTTCACACTATAAAAGACATGAATAAGAAAGATTTTTTTTTCTGAAATAAAGCAAAGTCCTTGACATATACACTTTTCTGGCACAAAGGTTTCATGCATATACAGAAGGACAAGTATGATTCCCGTTGTTCAGCTAAGAAAAGCGGGTAGCAATACTTTCCAGTGGCATTCCATTACAACTCAGAAAATTCATACAAAGATAAGTGTGGCCTCTGGATACCCAATTCATCGTTTGCAGGCTTTTTTTCTACCACTAGACTGTACTACAGCTTGCATTTTTAGGTGAAAGTATTTTGTTATAATGGCTGGAGCCTGCCAAAATAATGTATAATATATATAATACATATCACATATAATCTTAATAAAGTGCATTACTACTCTGCTAAAGGTACAGTAAGTCTTGGTCCGTGACTATGGAAAATATTTAAGATTCATTTAAAAGGTGGTGAGGGGTGAGATTCAGTTGCACCTTAAGTAATTACATTCCTGCACTACTGTAAGTTTACTGCCTTCATGTAAGAGAATTTAAATATTTTGATGATTATCAAAGGTGGTTACTCCAGAACTCTTTTCTAAAGATATTTCTAGTAAGAAGTTGAAGCCAGTGCTCTTTTACAGAAGTTATTACTGAAATGTATAAATGCAGTTCTAATACTTTTAATGAAATATGACACTTTTTAAGGAAGTCTAATAGAGTTTGTTGCAGAAAAGTCATTAATCTATTTCTCACGGAAAATATTATTCACAAACTGCACAGGCCAGTGTACCAACTTTTGAGCTGCAGGCATTTCAGCAGTTCACAGTTTTCTTTTCTCCTCCCAGGCAACAGATGGTAAACCATTAGTACATATTGTATAGCATTGGTCTCCCAGAAATTCATTCAATCACTCTTTTCCCCCCCTTTTAGCTCACTACTTAGATGCTGTCCGAGGTAAGATTTTTCTCACCAGTTTTATAAAAGAAGTATATTGTAAACAGAAAATATGCATGTGGGAAAGCAAGGGCGGTTTTTTGGTTTTTGTTCTTATTTTTTGGCAATCTTATTTAAGTGTAACATTGTCAGTTTCACATTATAATAGACGGACTAATAGGTCATTTGTTTTTGTGACATCAGTCACTGTTTGCCATATGATAAAATGGACTGATAAGCAGTATAAAGGTCTATCTTTTCTAGTCCTTATATTGAGTTGTGTGTCTGTGTTTGTGTATACGACACAGGTAATTATTAAATAAACTAGGTTTAGATGGCCGAACTTTTTATTTAACATAACAATATAGCTCTAAGTCCATATACTGGTGCTCTTACATCCTTACAAGGGCAGAAAATTTATCTCCCTAGAAGTACCCTCATCAGCTATCCCTCCAGGTATCTGCCTTTGACAGCGACGGCAAGGGTTTTTCTGTCAGATATACTGGTGGCTTATATTACCTCAACTTCAGAAAGTTGAATAACTCTCAATTTATCCTTAATTTCTACTTATTCACTGTCTCTCTATTAAAATAGAACTCCATAAATTCCCTTCTCAAAATCATGAGTATATTATATACATAAAAGTATTTATATATTCTGATAGACATCTATTATTTTATTTTAAACTTTTTTCTTCCTCTGGTCTGTTATTAGTTTCTTGGAAAACCACTTGGGAAAAATTGGGTTACTTCTACAGATTTTTGTTTTACTCTTTATACTTCTGGAATTTTCTTTCAAAGTCAGGAAATAAAAATAATATTGTTTGGACTATTCCCAGTAAAATCTGGGTCTTGTCTTATATTGCTACTGGGAAAAATATCCAGAAGATTTATGCTATTATCACTGTTTCTGTTCATCTGCCCACTGAGCACTTGGCACATGCGCAGTTACCCTTTGGTAAAGTCAAAATCCAAATTACTGGTAGAAAGAGTAAGGCATATCTGAGAAATTAAAAGTCTAAAGAGGAACCACTGTCAGTGTTAGTGCTTCATCAATGGTTAAAAGTCATTTAAACACTTCACTTTCCTCTTGACTTTTTTCCAGTTATTCTTTAGAATTCAGAAAGTCTAAATCTGGCATGCATTAATTTCATAAACATTTGTTTAGCACTTATATCATCGTTGCAGGCATAATATTGTATAAGTTTTTGAGAGACATTCATAGAAGTAAAAAATTTCAATCCTTAGTCTAAGGATCAATAATAATCTTGAAGAAAAAAAGCTGAAAATGTGTAAAGCAGCTGCAGGACACTTCTAAGACACCATATGAGCAAATACTTAATGGTGTGGTCTGAACATTATACAAGCACACCTAAATCCTAAAGCAATACATCACCAGGGAAAAATAAGCACAGGCTAGAAGTAGTTAGAGAAAGTTTCTCTTCATAGAAACTGCTGGATTTTTTTCAACTTATTGTCCATAACTAGATACAGCATTATCCAGTTTGATTGAGATGAGGAGATATGCTTATTGAATAGGAAAAAAGTAACATTTCTTGTCCCCACCATAGTTTTCTTTCTATCTGAACCAGAGATTGGGAATTGGGGTTAGCATTAATAAAGCTTAATTGGCTCTCTAAGGAAAACCACTGCAGAGTAAGGGATAACAAGTTCCCTGAGAAGGTTTTGCAAGCAAGCAAGCTCTTCTTCCATTTATTCACCACCTCATCTGAATGGAGCCCAGATGATTGGATGCTTCCCTGTAGGCAGATACATCATTGTTGGCCAATGTCATTCTGATGTATTTGTGATTGTTATTCTCTGTTGTCTTTTCAGATGGCTGTCCAGGGCTCTGCTTTGGAAATGGACGATGTACCCTGGATCAAAATGGTTGGCACTGTGTCTGCCAGGTGGGTTGGAGTGGGACAGGCTGCAATGTTGTCATGGAAATGCTTTGTGGAGATAACTTGGACAACGATGGAGGTGAGTCATTTTTAAAATGTTCACATAAGAAAGAAATAGCCCAGCCTATAGCAAAGTGGTGACCAATCTGGCCAAGGATGAAAATTAGGAATCTCCAAAATAAGTAATATTGAGTTATATAGGGTAATACTATTTTTAATATTAGTCATATTAAAAAGACATTACTTATCGAGTGTTTTTTTATGACCAGGCAATATTCCAAATTTTTTCATGCATTATGTCTCATTTAATTCTTGCAATAACTCTATAAGGTATTGGTACTATTATTTTTCCTACTTATAAATGGGAATGGTAAGTGACTTATCCAATAGTAAGTGACTTATCCATTAGCGACTTATCAAATAGTAAGTGACTTATCCATTTGCTCTGTCACACAGCTAGAATGTAACAGAGCAAAAGTTCTGATTCAGAGCTGTATGACTTCAGCGTCTGTTTTCTTAACTACTACACTATACTACCTCCCATACTCATGGCATTTATTATACCAAATTCAATTAACATACCACTGTTTAAGCTGTTAGATGTTAGTGTAGCTTGCACTACATGCACTATTAAAATTCTGTTCTTTGTTCTCATCATTTAGAGTTCCTTCCTGTGTCTCTATCTCTTAGTAATACTTTATACCTTTCACAGGACACAGCATCAAGACAATTCACAATAGAATTTTTAATATTTAATTCAAGAGCTACACATGGTATTTTAAAAAGCAACATGTGGCTCCAAGGTTTCAGGGTGACCACTTCTCACTTAGTCAAGTCAACAAAGCATTAATGCACAGTATAACCAGACCTCACAACCGCCCAAACCACTTCTGAGTAAGCCTAAAACAACAAATCCTCACTTTCTACATACTTTCTACTCAAAGAAATATGAAGTAAAAAAGTTTTTTTAATTTCTGTATATTAGCTTAAAATAAAATATGTTACTAAATTTGACTCCTCAAATTTCCATATCTGTTTACACAATTGTATTCCTTGTCATTTGAATCCAAAGATGGGGCTTAAATCAATAAGGTGGCAGTCATTGTCTAAGCACCATGTTGACTTTTAGGAGTTTCTTCCTTTACTTGTTCTGGCTAGCAGTTAACGTTAAAAATTTATAAGATCTTATCAAAATTAAGTGGAAGTAACTTTGTAATTAAGAACACAGAGCACTGAAGTCAGACTGTCTGGATTCAAATATTAGCTCTGACTTATACTGGCTTTATGATTTGGGGCAAGTTTCTTGATGTGACTGTGCTTCAATTTCCTTATCTCTGAAATAGAGTTGATAATACTAACTGTCTAATAGGGTTGTTATAAGTATTAAATAGGATATTTCAAGTGAACCACCTAGAAGATAATAAACTACACAAATACACACACACACACACACACACACACACACACACTTAAAATAGATCATTTTCCAAAGAAATTGTTTCCTACCCACTCTTGTTTTGGAAGCCAGAGTGAAATTTTCGATTAAATGATACATTGAAAAGCTACTTAATTAATTTATATGACTCTCCAGGGCTCATCTTCATTTTCCTTTTTGCTTTTTTGTTGTTGTTGTTTTAGTTTTTTTGTTTTTTGTTTTTTGTTTTTGAGTTGGAGTCTCACTCTGTCACCCATACTGGAGTGCAGTGGCCGCTCCCGGCCACCGCAGCCTCGACCTGCTGGGCTCCGGCGATCCTTCCGCCTCAGCCTTTCGAGTAGCCAGAATTACAGGCATGCACTACCACGCCAGGCTGATTTTTTGATTTATTGTAGAGATGAGGTCTCGCTGCCCAGGCAGGTCTCGAACCCACGGGCTCAGGCAATCCACTCACCTCAGCCTGAGGTGCGGGATTACAGGCTGAGCCACCGAGCCCGGCTCTTTTTGTTCTTTTCCTTCTATGCCCCTTACCTGATATGCCCTCACCTCTTTTCCACTCGTCATTCTCTGTCCATCATTTAAGCCTCAACTCCAGCCACATCTTCCATAAAACTTCTGACATCAACCTCCTCAATCACTTGTGGTGCTTATAATATGCACCATATTGTCGATGCTTAATTATATTCTGTCTATAAGAATTTCTTGTTGCATGTTAAGTTTGACCCATGGTCCATAGTTATATGCCCAATGTAATTAGTGATAATAGTACCTCACTTATAGTCAGTATTTACTATGTGCCAGGCATTGTGCTGATCCCTTTATATGAATTATTTTATTTAATCCTCATGATATAGGGACTAATATTGACACTAATTTACATGTCAAGAAACTGAGGCACTGAGAGATAAGTTGTTAAAGATCATATAACAAGAAGATAATAGATCTTGAGTATAAATCTAGGTGGTCTGCTTCATTTTTAAAAGCATTGGGTATAATAATAGGGATTTCTCAGTTGATGTATTGATTCAAAGCTTATACTCAGAAAGTGCATTACCAACCTATTCAATTATAATTTCTGGCTCAGTTAAGGTTGAGCCAAAATAAGTTTCTTGCATTAGTAAAGTAATAAAAATAATTGAATATTTCATTATCAAGCATTTTTATGGTCTCAAAGCATCTCAAGGCAGCCAAAAATGTATAATGAGTTGATCAATTAAATATTAATGATTAATGGGTTATCAATTCTCAGTGTCTGTGGTATACCTAGATACAGAAGATATAGAAGATTTTACTGAATGCATATTGACCTCTGAATATTCCTTTAAACTGCACATCTATATGTGAATTAAAAGTCAAAGATCCTGGTATGAATTCAGTATAGTTTTATGATTATCTCTTTAGGGAGTAGAGGGGAAAGGCTCCTTTAGAGTTCTAATTATCATTTTTCCCTATAGTAGGATTAAGATGATATTGATGATAAATATAGATTCAGTTCTACTTTGAGATGGATAGACGAATTGAATAACCTCTGAAAGCCCATGACTAATATTTTAGACCAATAATTCCATTTTTATACAGTTTAAATATTCCCCCAATAAATACATTAAATGCCTTTCCTTTAATAGCCTCAGCTTTCCAGCTATCCAGAATGGCTGTTTTCATTTAGTTGACTACAACTAAGGATTGATATTTGCATACTTGTCTGTGTATATGTGTTTATGTGTGTGTTTATTAAATCAAAGAGCACCAATTGAAACTTTTTGAAAAAAAAGTCCTAATTTTTAACATGTAATTCTTAACAAATCTTCCCAATCAAAAAAAAAAATCACTCTCAAGTAGCTGCTACCTGATTACTTCGTATTATAGCAGATACTTAGAGTGGCAGGATTTTTTTTTTTTTTTTTGCATTCTAATCAGCTTTGAATACTCATTAGCATTGCTGCTACTTCCTGCAGCTTTGACTTTAGTTACACTCTGATTCAACACATTGTGCCTCTTAGTAACTAATTGGGCTGCATTGAGTATGTGGGTGCCACAGCTGGGCCAGAAGCTACCTAAGAGCTCCTCGAGCAGTAAAAACAGAACAGAGAACAAATAACCTTTGGATTTCTTTTTTCTTAATATGCAAAAATGGAAAGCTATCTACATATTGTATTTATAAGAACTAATTACTATAGAAGTCACAAACCTATCAAAGGTCTTGTGACCTCATTTATCCCTTTAGTCAGTAAGCACCTACCACATGTACAACCCTGTGCTTGGAGGAGGAAACTTAACATTATTAAACTTAACATTTTCATTTTTAAATCAAGTGTTCTGATTTGGGGAGAAAAAAGTTTGAACATTATATTAACTGAGTCAGACTAACTAAAACAAAGAATAGTGAGGAGAAGCTAGAACTATGCAACATTAAAGTATATTTGAAAATTATGATAATTAAAGCAAAGTGGTACTGATGAAAGAATAGACAGATTGGTACAACTAAATAAAAGCTCTAGAACACACTCAAGTACTAATAAAAAATTTAGTATATTATAAAACCAGCATCAGACCAGGTACAATGGCTCAGACCTGTAATCCCAGCACTTTGGGAGGCTGAAGTGAGAGGATCACTTGAGCCCAGGAGTTCAAGACCAACCCGGGCAACAAAGAGAGACCGTGTCTCTACAAAAATAAAAAATAAGCCAGGCACAGTGGTATGTGCTTGTAGTCATAGCCTCTCAGGAGGCTGAGGCAGGAGGGTCACTTGAGTCCAGGAGTTCAAGGCTGCAGTGAGTTATGATGGTGCCACTGCATTCCTGCCTGGGCAACAGAGCAAGACTTTATCTCAAATAAATAAGTAAATAAATAAATCTAGCACTAAAAAATAAGTGGGGAAATGAAGCATTATTGAATAAACGCACCAACCCAGATGCCCATAAAAGTGGACTGGATAAAGAAAATGTGGAATATTACACAGCCAAAAAGGAAAACAAAATCATGTCCTTTGCAGCAACATGGATGCAACTGGAGACCATCATAATAAGTGAACTATCACAGAAACAAAAAAAACTGAACACCACATGTTCTCACTCATAAGCAGGTCCTGATTACTGGTCACACGAACACAAAGATGGACACAATAGATGCTGAACACTGCTAAAAGATGAAGAGAGGAAAGAGGGATACAGGGCACACAATCACACACTGGGTACCAGGTTCACTATCAGGGGAAGAGAGGGCTCGCTAAAAGCCCAAACCTCACCTGCACACAATTTACTTATGTAGTAAATCCTCATACGTACCCCACAATTCTAAAGTAAAATAAAATGATTTTTAAAATAAATGGTGCTGGGATAGCTATTAAGAAAAATACCTTAGATTTTCAATTCATACTGTATAGCAAAAGAATAAGATTAAAGAATCCAACTGTATTAATGAGTTAAAGGTAAAAGAAAAACACAATTCGAGAAATATATAGGTGACAGATATTACAAAGGAAAATACTTCTTAAATATGAAAGCAAAGGAAGAAACCACAATAGAAGAAAAACAACAAATTTGACTTAGTAAAAATTTAAAACTTTTTAACGATGTTTAGCTAAATTTATAGATCATCCAATACCTAAATATTTGGAGACACCAAAATCTGCGTTGTCTGACATG